CGGTTTCTTTAGTGGTGTGCTGAACACGTCAGCCACTGAGCCATCCAATTGCTGCAGCAGATACGAGACACATGACACAGCCACAACTGGACGCGCAGCCTCTTGCCGATTATTCCTTCCTCGTTCTTTGTTGCGTGTGATCGTCTCGTTTGTAATAATAGATCATCCTCTTTCACCTACATACTTCTTTAACGCTTCTGGTTCGCTTGCGTTGCTTGAGACTTCTCTGCCTTGCCAACACCCAAACACTCGCTCTCGCTCTCAAGTCAGTCACTCGCCCCGGGCTGATCCCGACTCTCGCTACAGTTACACCCGCTGGACTTAACGACTGCCGCTCATCTGTCCCTATCTGATCCGTCATGGCGCCGGCACTTGATGCGGCCTTTGCCCCGCTGGCAACCGTCGCCATCCCAGAGCAGCACCTCCAGTCGCGAGACCTGCAGAATGTCAACCGCACCCAAGCTATTACCCTGGGTGTCATCGCCGCATATGTGGTCGGCATTGCTATTCTCTGGAACGTCCCGTATCTTCGTATGATCCTCTGGCCCTTCAAGGTAAGCCTCAGATGCATAATATGACATCACATCATCCAATGACCACGACCCTCAACACTGAAGCAACCAAGCACTGACAAGACTATCAGATGCTTGTCATTGCATTCCACGAGTTTGGACATGCCATCACGGCCATCCTGACCGGCGGCAAGGTTAAGTCTATCAGCCTGGACCCGAATGAGGGCGGTGTTACCCATCTCTCTGGCGGCATCAGCGCCATCACTCTACCTGCCGGTTACCTTGGCTCATCCCTTATCGGCGCCGTCCTGATCATCTGCGGTTTCAACATCAACGCCAGCAAGATTGTCAGTCTGGCTCTCGGCGTGTGCTTCCTCCTCACTCTGTGGTGGGGTAAACGCGATTGGCTCACCATTCTCACTATCCTGCTCGCCGTTGGCTTCCTTGTTGGATGCTGGTTCATCAACCACGCCGAGGCCCTCCGTTTCGTTGTGCTCTTCATCGGTGTCATGTCGTCACTTTACAGCATCTGGGATATCTGTGACGACCTAATCCTCCGCAAGGTCAACTCCTCCGACGCCAGTGTCTTCGCCAAGCGCTATGGTGGTTCCTCTCGCTGCTGGGGTGTCATCTGGTCCATCATCTCCGTTTGTTTCATGGCTATTGGAATTGTTGTCGGCTTAGCTGCTTTCTCTCAATCTTTTGAACAACAGCGCGAGGATGCTCAGCACTTCATTCCCACCTAAACGCCCATAACCTTGGTATCGAACATGCGCAGCATAGCATGCAACTATTTCCATCCATCTATTTGTTGGTTTCTTATTTTTACTTTGGAATTTGTAGCTTGCACAGTGCACTGAATCTCTTTGGCTTCTCATAGCGACGGAAGGCGGGCTGGAGTATTGGATAAAGTGGCAGGGGAAGGTCTATGTTTATGTTGAACAGCAGGCATGCTGTGGCGGGACCCTATGATGAACGGCTGTCCCATTGATACCCTGGTTAGATGTTAGTTACCTAATGAATATTCATGTTTCTTCTAGGCGCGATGCAGCGTGAACATCGCAAATCACAGACACTCGAATACTATAGCATCGCCTTTCACGTCGACTTTACAACAGTAAGCAAGAGTTTTGGCATCAAATGTGCATTTCATATATGTACCACAGTCCTTCAAAAACTATATACAGGTGAAGAAGAGGGTCTTGTCATAAAACGAGCGGAAACATCTAGCATGTCCGCGTCCCTTCCCGAAGGACGCAAAGCGCCAGCATCATATATACAGAAAGTCATCCAGAGCTATACCCTCAAATCAGAGTGCGCCAGTCACCTGGTCGAGGAAGCCGCTGTTGGCGTACAGCTGCGACATGTCCCACATCATGACGCCGCCGAAGCTGTCGAACTGCGCCGAGTACTTGATGGCGGCGCTGAGCTGCGCGCCCTCAGCGTACCCGGCCCCGGCGCCCGTGTTGGCGGGGACGCCGAGCATCACCTTCACGTTTGGGTTCTTACTCGTCTGCCTGGCCCAGGCGTCCCACACGTCAAAGTTGAAGGCGGGCTGGCTCGTCGCGCCCTGGACGAAGCTGGTGACGCCGCAGGCGTTGTTGTAGAACTGGATCATGATGAAGTCGAAGGCGACGCCGCCCGCGAGGGCCTCCTGGTTGGCGACGTCCGGGTAGGGGCACTGGGGCGCGGCGGTGATGTAGTACTTCTTGCCCGTGGACGCGGTGGCGGCGTCCATGAGGCGGCGGAGCTCGACGCCGAAGGGGACCATGTTGCTTGTGGCGGACTCGAAGTCATAGTCGAAGCCGTCGACGGCGGCGGAGCCGAAGGGGCGGAGGACGCTGGCCTGGGTGCTGCTGCTGTTGACGCCGGTTGGGCCGAACATGGTCCAGAGGTTCTGGGCGGTGGTTACGGCGTCGGTGGACGAGGAGAAGCCGCCGCCTGAGTAGGTTGCGCCGCCCAGGGAGAGGATGATGGTCTTGCCCGCGGCCTGGCAGGAGATGATGTCCTCCCTGGAACGACCAGTTAGCTAAACCTTGCTGGTTGGGTGGTCAGTGAAGGGTTGAACTTACTCGATCTGGGGGCAGTCCAGAAGGCTCGGATCCTCAGGGAATGTGGTGCAGTTGTCTCCTGCATTGGCAAAATTCATTGCAGGGGGATTGAGGCCGGTCAGAAAGGCGATTGGAATGATCTATGGCCGTGTCAGTCAGTCTCCCATCCCTCTATGAATAAGGCGAGGGTAGGCAAGCTTACATCAATATCAGTGTCTATGGGCTCTGTTAGTTGATGTGCACTTTCAGCAAAGGGAAGTGGACAGGAGCTGCTTACTCTGGCAATAGTAGCTCAGCCGTTCTTGAACATAGGGGCCACTGCCCTGACCGTATGAGTTCTGACCCCAGTATACGGCAACGTTCGACTTCGACGTGGAAGAGAAACCTGCGAGAGCGAGAGGAAGGGCGGCGAGAAAGCCGACGGCCGAAGCCAAAGAGCGAAGAGATCCAACCATCTTGGGTACAAGGAATGGAAGTTGAGCCAGCAACTAGTTGTTGTTAAGAAAGGAAGGACTGGTTGTGTTAGTCGACTGTGTGGATGGGTGGATGGTTCTTCCAAGACAGAATCTCGAGGGATCTCGGATCGTCTTATATGCAAAAATCTTGGCCCGCCTCCTCCAGAGGCCATATCAGCGACATCTCGTGGGACTGTAACATGTAACATGCTCATCCAAGCTCGAGGTTACAGAAAGAGGGGAGCTAGGAGCTGGCCACTGTGGTCAGGTGTGAGCCTGACACACCCATCATCGGCTCAACTTGCCTGGAGGTGTGGGTATCGAAAATCCAGCACTGGCATTATCTCGAATCAGATCTTTGGTGAGCAGGATTGGACGTGGCGAGCCAGTGGAGAAGCGCAACCAAGCTCTGTCCTTCTCTTACGCCTACCCACCCTACCGAACACAGTCTATCCCAGACATGGCAAAGTGGGGTGATGGGAAAGATATCAGAAGATGGAGTTACGTTGGATCACAGCACCGAAGTGAACCTGAGAGTCTTGAGAATACCGCGTGCCATCCCTATTGGAAGTGATCTGCAACCAGGCTGGGACATTCGATCGCAAAAGAAGAAGGACAGTGAGGATCGGAAACGCTTAACCCTGCCGAGTTAATTCGAATGGCGATTCTTGAACTTCGGGGTGATTCGAATAGTCATGCCACATCAAGTATCGAGTTTCGTTTCATCCACATCCCTCATCCTCACCCCGGTATTAACGATATGTACGGCATGGCTGGGCGAAATCTTGGATCTCAGCCGATCAGATACGGTAAAAGGCTTTCTGGTCTTCGGCCAATATCGAATCTTGCAGAATACAGTGACGTACCGTCCCTTGTTGGGCCATATCCCATGTGTCTCGAAATCGGTGCTGTAACGTGGGAAGGGTAATAACCAACACCCCTTGCCCAGCAGACCAAGCTCACTCCACCTCAACCCACCTGGAGGTGGTATGCCGACATGCCGGTGATTTCAATGAGGAGCTTGGTATAGGCCTGTCAGCCTAATAGAGCCGGACCAGAATCCTTGGGAGCTTCCCGGTTCGGAATGATCCGGTGTGGATAGGTATATGCGCATAATTCATTACTTGCAATGTTCCGAATGGAAAATAAGGCTCTAAATAGATGAAATCAACGGAGCCCGGAATGTTCGATATTAATTACGGACCGGCCCCAGCTTCACCGTGCTCTGATATGAAAGTGGAACGTCTCCGTGAAGCTGAAGCTTCCATCTACGAATCTCCAGACACTTTTAAGCCCTCTATACGTAATCAGTCTCATACCACTGTATCCTTCCTCATACACATGCAAGTAATTAAGGGCTTATCATCAGATGATTCTGCATTACTCCATCTGAGGTGACTTACATGACGAAGATCTGCAGCATATGCGGGCCGCAGAATCCACTCCCATGCCTTGCGACAGGCACCATTTCATCTGAACTTCCATCTTTGTCTCTTCCATATAAATCAATGGCACCCAGTGGTTGGTCCTGCATAGTAATCAGACTAGTCCGCGTACCAAAGGACCAGGGGGCCGTAACGTTGCACTATCACCATCCTATCTAGGTTTAACCATCGGGGACCTCAGCCTTTGGGGTCCTAGAGAAATCGAGCCTTGCCAGGTTTCCCCGTTTCAGGCTATCTGCTCACGGCTGGAACTTTGGTGCTATTCCTATATCAGACGTGCTCATGTTCCAAAGCACGCGGATTCGGCTGGACCCCTACTGATTCGGATCCGCTCGTTTATCTGAAACGGGAAGCTTCCCAGCTCGTTCTGTAAGTCCACTCGAAGCTCTATTTAGAACCAAAAGTTGCCTCTGCGTGCAGGGCTGGCCCATCGCCTTGCCTTGAGCTGACGGCTTCTACTTCCACTTTTTTACATGCCAAAGTCGGATGAAAACGCACACGCCTCCCTTCGCCTTGGTCTTATGTTGACATCAAACATCAGAGGAACTTGTGATGTTTTATCATAGCGTATACATCCATCTTCCATTCCTTCGTTGGCAGCCTTGCCAGCCCGGACAGCCTTGTTACATCTCCAAAGGTGAAGATCTGTGATACTAACGACAGCTATACCTCTCATAGACAGGGCAAAAGTTGTTCAAACTCCAGCCAGCAGAAAAGTTTAGATAGGTGAACATTGTGGCACGCAACGTCGTAGAGAGGGTATACCTGGCTCACGGTGTAATGAGGGCCTTTGTCAGCTATGAATGCCACTCCCGCAACGATGCCACCCACGCCGCCTCCCATTATGCACGTAACTTCAGAAACAACCCTTTTGGAATGCGACGTGATGTTCCCTTAGGAGATGAGTGCCCCTGGGATGCCATACTGGAAGAAGCCGGTCCCTAGACGAGTTGTCAGTATATCCAACGCACTTTAGGTTTCAATCTTCGGTGGAAGGGAAGTGGTAGAGACCTGAGAATGTCCTGAATTACCGAGCAGTTGGTGCCTTTCCATGCGCCGTAATGAGCATTCCGGTGGCTGCTATTGCCTGGTATACTGCAGATCCTGGTCCTCTCGTCTGATGCTTGCCATTTATACAGCCCGAAATGTAGGTCAAAACGGCAGCGAGATTGGTAAACTCCTTTTCTTCGGGCGGCAGGATGGCACCTGCATTGGACAGAAAATCGACATTGATTAATGTTCCAAGGAGGCACACGCCGCAGGTGATGGCATCTTCTACGACAAAGATCCGTACGAGACAAGTAAGCCAGTACCACAAAACCGTGGGATAGAATAAGACGCTTTTGATAAAATCCGTAGATCTTCAGCCCTCGTCAGCCATGTCGTCCTTTGAGCAGAGCCAAGATTTAAGCGAGTCTTCCAGAGAAGCCTGATGCTGTAACATAGAGGATCCAGACGCCTGGTATTCACTTGCCAACGTTATACTTCATGTACCTACCAACAAGTGATGATATATCCACACTATATACTATTGTTCACTTTTCCAGAGACGCACTTCACAGCAAAGTAGGACTTACTCGGAAGGAAACCAGCTTCAAACGTTTTTAGAATAGCTCGACACAAGGCCGTAGGTGCCCAGTGACGGGTAAAGCCCGTGCTAGTCAAGATGCTTCCAAACGAGAAGCCTAAGAAGGACAGCCAGATTGCAGGCCCAGCCTTGGGCAAAATAAGATTCTAGAAGATATCAAACAAATTAACCCCTGTTAAGGTTATGTTTCTGATCCTATTCAGCGCGGCTCTTAGGCTTGGTAACTCGAATATCGTGTATCAGTTATCACATTTCATCGCATCTGCTGGCTCAGGCTCAGAATTATATCATGTAGGCGACAAATAATGTCATTGCAATATTGGTATATCGGCCGCCAACAGGCTGCCCAAGTTCTTCTTGCATCCCCGACACGAGGGCAAGGCCTAAGTTTATAAGGTCGATGAGAGATGTCTAATACATGACCCCAAGTATTGGTAGCAGTCTCAAGTCAACTCGTCGACTGGAGATGAGCCATATAGGTAGTGTATAGGAATCCAGGAACGGAGAGCAGAGGCCTTACGATGCTCGAAATGCCCATGTCTGGATGATCAATTCCCTGGGGAGACCGTATCTGGGGAGATGTAACAGAGAATGCAGCTGAATGCTACGCGTCAAGACCATATCAGTTGATAGAACGAACCACTTCAATACCGAGCAGGCGAGGCAAGCGTCGTTTTCATTTTCATTATGCATACTCTTTACCAGCGGCCTCTCCGTCCTCGACTGAATCCACCCCGTCCTCCGCCTCCACCGCCCATATTTTGTTGTTGGTCAAACCCATATCCGCCTTGGTTGCCTCCATATCCACCAGCGCCGAAATTCTGGCCCTGTCCTCCAGCACTCGCCCCTGCTCCAGAAAACATGGCAGCCATCTGAGCCGGATCCATCTGGTTCCCGTCCATACCCGACGCCATCATCTGCTGCATCATCTGCTGCATCTCCGGGGGCATGCCCTCCATCCCAGGCATGCCTGATACGCCGCCGCCGCCGCCACCTCCTGCTGCTGCTGCGGCGTTGCCTCCCATGTTGCCCATGCCTCCCATCATCATCATGCTGTTCATCTCCTCCATCATCTTCTTGCTTGAGTTTGCAAACGCATCGGCGCCGTACTCGCCGCGGACGTTGTCCTGCTTTGCTGCGTAGAGGGCCCACGTGAACTCGTCGAAGCCGTAGTTGAAGTAGTCGCTGATATCGGTACCTGGTTTCCGCCAAGGCTTCTCGTTCTCGGGGAGGTCTATAACACAACGTTGTTAGTTTACATCGCACCAAGCTGCTGCCATGGAGACCTGCGCGCGACGAACCTTCGTCAATGTTGACATGGGTGATTGGCTTGCCAGCAGCCGGGTATATTGGGTTCGCGTTAATGTCGATTGTGGATTTTGAGGCAGCCTCTGACGTTTTGTCGGCGCTGGGTGTGCCAATGTTGGCGACGCTCGACCTGGTCGCGCCCTCCTTCTTGGCTGGCGCTGACTTCGCAGATGGGTCGTCGGACGTTGTTCTTTGCGGGATATTTCTTATGTCGCTGTATTTTGATTGTCTATCGCAGGGCGGTTGTCAGTAAATTGGTTCAATCGCAGAGGAGAGTGGGACGACATACGATGGGGGAGCTGCAGTTGTGCCATCTTTTCGTTCTGTAATGATGTCGATGTCCTTTGAGGTGTAAGCACATAACAGCCTATATCCGAGCTACTGATAAATACGCACTGAGTCGTCATCCTCGTCCTCGTCCATAGCAGCACCCTCGTCCTCTTCTTCGCCTTCCTCTAGCTCGTCGGCTTTCGAAGGAAGGTCCTTTTCCTCGGTGGGCACAGTAGGCTCCTCGGGAGCATAGAAATCGTCGTCGTCCTCGATATCCATGATGTAATTAGTTTCGATTAAGCTCTAGAAGTCGTAGGTTTTCGCGTTGGCACAATAAAACTAGAGCTGTCGTTTTTCTTTGACCTTGGTATGATGCAGTTAGGTGCAGCTTCCAAGGTGACAGCCGCGCGCCGACATTTCTCCGCTGCGATTGGACCACTCACCGAGACTCACCGAAGCTACCTCAATCGACCAATAAACAGCAACCGGCATCCAAACAAACCCAGCCAAATTATTTCTTTGTCAAACCTTGAGCTCCACACGCCTGGATCCTCCCCAAAACAGAGTAGCTGGCCCAATCACTGAGACAGTCTAATAAAAGCACCTGTGGTTTTCTTAGCAGGTAGCTCTGCGGTCTGGTTAGCGCCATGTCTTTGGCGCGTTCGGCCAGTGGCCCCGGTGGGCTCACCATCAACACCAACACCGCAAACCTGTAAGTCTCGCCGACCCATCGACAAAACTTCACGCGTGGAGCCGGCCCTGCAGCAACTGACCAAGCACCATCCATCTCGCAGATCTACACCGTCCACTCAGCCTGCAGCAGGCGGTAGTCTTTTTGGCGGTGCAACAACCAGCACACCTTTAGCGACTACATCGAACGCAGCTACAGGAGGAAGCACAATGGCTACAGCCGGTGGACTGTTTGGGCAGCCGCCAAAGCCAGCTGGAAGTCTGTTCGGAGGAGCAACGACGACTCCTGCAGCCAGCACTGGAACTGGCAGTCTGTTCGGGCAGCCACCAAAGCCAGCAGGCAGTCTATTCGGAGGAGCAACGACAACTCCCGCTGCCAACACTGGAACAGGCGGTCTATTTGGAGGAGCAAATCAAACAGCGACACAACAACCAGCGCAACCAGCCGCCGGCGGACTCTTTGGTGGTGCAGCTACCACTACCAACCAGCCGGCACAAGCAACAGGCAGCTTGTTTGGAGGTGCGAATACTCAGCAACCAGCGCAACAGCAACCGGCGGCGAGTGGTGGTCTCTTTGGCGCAGCACCCGCGGCTACCAACAACCTCTTTGGCCAGTCCCAGGCAAAACCTGCAACGGGCGGGTTATTGTGAGCATACCCTTCTCTCCTGTCCTCTTCTTATCTACCTATTTATGCTAACAGCCATGAACAGCGGACAAACTCAGTCACAGCCTCAGCAGCAAACCCAACAACCAGTCGCGAACCAGTCGACGAATCAGATTTCAGCTGTCCAGATCAACTATGATAATATCCGGCCTCGAACACGATTCGACGACCTGGCAAAACCAATTCAGGACGAAATCGCCCTGATCGACAAGGGAATCACAAGGGTCATTAAGATGAAGGACGAAATCGGCGAATTCATGCCCCAACACGAACGAGACATCGAACAGCTCGGCCGCGACGTCAAGTTTGTGGAATCCAAGTTCCGCACCGTCCAGGTGGCTCTCAACAGCGACATCCAGGCCGTCAAAGTCCTCCAGGACATGACAAAGAAGAACATCACCGATGCGCAGCTCTCCTTCAAGGCCACGGACAACCTCAAGCTCCCAGCCCACTACCACCAAACTGGTCTCTTCGCTACGCCTGCATCTGCTACCTCAGCCAACAGCCCTGCCGCCAACACAGCCGCTGGTGCTTCTGATACCCACGCCGATGCCCAGGACCTCATCACCTACTTCAACCGCATCTGCGACGACGTGGAGAAGTATAAGCGACGGATCGACGAGTACCGCGCCGAGATTGAGCGTGACATGCCCGGCGTCGAGAATGGCCTGTATGAGCAGATCCGGGCCCTGCGTGATCGCCAGGCCAGCAGTAACGGCGACTCTGGCGTATCAGACCAGCTCGGCCAGGTCCTTCTGGCGCTACGCGAGATGGGCACAGCCATTATCAACCAGGCCGGACAGATTGCCGATACCAGAGAGAGGCTTTCCAGGCTCCAGGCCGGTATCCTAGATTCCGGAGCGTACGGAATGAGCATGGCAGTATAAGGCGTTTTCCTTTCTTTTGGCAGCTTGAGGTGTACTTGGCAAGAAAAGAAACCATGGAATTTTGTTTAACTCATTTTTTAATCTATTTTCTCTTTGGTGTAAAGGCATAGAAAACCAGGGGAAACCTGGCCAGCGGAACGATGGACGGTTGTTTGTTACGACACATGTATTTAGGTAGAATGAGCTGAGCCGACCGTAATCACATACCCTGGGCTTCTCCGGTCGAGCCATCCTGTGCTGGGAAGCTTGTCTCCAAACCTCTAGAAGATGTGTAAAAAGTGAAGGAGATGTCTCCGTAAAGTGTGTTTTTGTATTTATCATGTTACAGCTCTGGAGAGTTGTGGGTATCAAGCAACCATCGCCGTATCTCTAAATTTGAGTCATTCGCAATGCCCGTTCCTAAATGTTTTTGAACTCCAGACGGTAAATCAGCGTCAAATTAATATGTTCCCTCGCCGTCCCCTCCATCGTCGCCATAGTCGTCGCCGTATTCATCACCGTTGTCGAAGTAGTTCTCGGCATCGTAATCACCGGCGTCCTCGTCATCGTATACTTCGTCTTGCTCCTCCTCTTCTCCTTCTCCCTCGAGCTCCTCTTCCTCCCCTTCCTCGTGGGGAATGGCATCCAGCCTCTCGAGCAGATCCCCTCCTCTTGCGCCGTCCTCCCCTTCTTCGCCGTGTGCCACCAAACCAAAGGCCTGCTCTGCGTTTGGAAGGGCGTTGACGCTGGTCAGCTCCAGCTTCCGCTTCTTGCGCTCGCCCTGCGGCTCGATCACGTCGAGTATGTCTTCTGGGAAGAGCTCTCTGCATATCACCCGCCGGGACCAGTCGGGGAGGGCCCGCTCCTCACGGACGAATCGCTGGCCGTAGGTCGGGACGGATGTGAAGGGGTCCTGCGAGGCGCGGCTCTGCACGCCGTAGTGGGCATTGGTTTGCTCTTGGCCGTACATCTTGCGAGGCGCGAGGGGATCGCTGTCTAGGGTGCGGCGGGAGGTGTATAATGAGGAGGCGTGGATCTGATGTCGCAACAGGAGGAAGTGCTTGACGGCGTCTTTCTCAAAGGGATTCAGTGCCGTAGGAGTCGGGACAGTGTATGGCTGCAATTATACAAGTCAGTTTCGCTTCTCCCCATGTCGCTACACCAACGCGCCAACTTCGATCGGACGGGGGAGACTCACAGGGAAGAGCTCAGATGGCCTGGCATCGGGTTCATCGCCATTGTCCCATGACAGGACCGGGCGGCCAGCGCCGCCTCCACCTCTTCCTCCCCTACCACCGCGGCCACCTCCTCGGCCTCCTCGAGACATTCTTGCGGCGACAGCTGCTGTGGGTGCACGTTGGTGTTGAAGAATCGCGCAATGGCTGGAGCAAGTGGTGGCAGTCAAGTTGAAGGGTATGAGTCTGCCCGGTGAATTTTTAGAGCTGCCGTGGGGTTGCGCAGTGGATCGATTGCTCACTGTAACACGGAATTGTTCCGCTGTGACGTTGCCCCGCTGCATGTCCGTGGCCCACTGAAACTCTACTGCACAGCACTGAGCAATGCCGCTTGTAGGCTCCAGCGTGCGACGACGATCGCCGGTAGTTACGATAGCTGCTCTGCCTGCTTGGCTGCCGTATACAAGCACGTCTCTCTTCCAGACTCATCGCATTGTCATCGCCGCATTTTCCTGGCTGGATATCTCACCGCAAGTGGCAATACATCCATCATTATACAGCGAG